GCTTCAGTGCTGTTCTCTTTGAAACTACCTCAGTCATGTCGCTCCAGTGCCTGACCTTCCTTTCAGCAGAAAGATATTTAGCATGTAAGTATCCACAAAGAACAAGCCAGACATCCAGTACGGTCAAAGCAGTCAGCTTCGGTATGTGGGGCATCGGGCTCGGACTCCCTCTGGTGATTCTTTTCACCTCTGAAGAGGCACCAGGATGTGGATTCTTCGATCCGTCTACTAAGCTCTTTATTCTCCTACCTAGAGCCGGATTTGGCCACGCGCTACACTATTTGCTTATATTCTATATGGCTGGGCTTTTTGTGTGCACCGTCTTAGTATTGTTTAAGACCAAACAAATATTCATTGCAAGTTCTAAGGATGGCTTGGCAAATATCATGAAGCAAAGTTCACCGTCACTAGTGAAGCAACGGAAGAGGGAAGACCATGACATCCTGATGACGATGAAAATGATGCTCGCACTGTACCTTCTGAGTGTAAGCCCGCGCTTCCTTCTGCTTATACCCGGCCTCCAAAGCGAAGGGCGGTTTTTGCACTTCCTTTTCTGGTGGATCTTCCTCCTAGACTCATCCTGGCACTGGTACGTCCTCAATCTGCGCAGTCAGGTCTTCCAAGATCATCTCGTGAGGCTAATCCTACGGTTTCCTTGGTGGCCCAGATCTTTCAGAGCAACGCTGAAGTCCAAGCTGTTACCTGACGCAGGTCTCACTGTGGAGCTGGGTCACATTTGGCAGATGATGGAGTCTGAGATCAGTGGGAGAAATCAGAACCACCCAGCAGAAAATCTATCATGATTGTATGTATTACATATTCAGTATAATCGGTAAAATATTATCCTTTGATTGTGATGAACATGTGCTTCTCTTCTGTGATGTAGCTTATGGTAGTCTGGTACTAATTGTATGATAACTAATTTTAGAAAGATTCCTTATTTTAAGAAAATTAATAGTTTAATTTTCAATATTCTGTACCTTCAGCAGCTCGATGATAATTATAGCATCGGTTAAGTAATACTAACAATGGTAATTACAAAAGATGATAATACTGATACAAATGAAAAACAACAATGACTAAAAACAATGATAAAGCTAATGTAAGTAACGAGAGTAGCATTAACTCTTGAATAATCATCAGTATTAACTAATATTATTACTACTATTGAACTTAACTAATTAGAACAAATGCAGTTATTGTAATAATGATCATGCAATTATTAATGATGATAATGATAAGAAGTTATAAGAAGGATAATATGAAAATGTGGTAATGTTAATGTGATAATAATAATGGTGATAATAATGATAATAGTAATGATAATGATAAAAATGATAGCAAGAAATCATAATAAAGAAAATAATTATCCCGATAATAGTGATAATGATGATAATAACAATGATGATAACGGATATGATAATGGATATAATAGTGCTAAAGTTAATAGTAATCATTACAATAAAATAATAACAATGATAGTAACAATACCAATAATAATTATATTGATAACAATGATAGTAGTAATAATAACAATAAAAATAATAATGATAATCATGAGATTAATAATGACAATAATGATAATGAAAATAATGATGATAATGGAGGAAGTAATAGTAATGGTTAAATTAAGAATGATTAAGATAATGATAACAACAACAATAACGGTGATAATTTGGATAAGAATTGCAACAATAATATAAAAAAGTAAATAAATAATTTAGAAAGTGAAAATAACAGCAAAAATGACAAAAATGGTAATAGTGATGATAGTGGTAATAATGATAATGATAATGATAATGATAATGATAATAAAATAATATTAATAATGATAGCAATTATAATATTTATATCAATATTAATATTAATATTGATATTAATATTAAAATTAATGTTGATAATATTAGTCTTAATATTGATCTGAATATTGATATTGATATTGATAGTGATATCATTATTGATATAAATATCAATAATGATAATGATAATGGTAATAATATTGATAATGTCACAACAGTGATAGAATAAAAGAAAGTAAATGATAATGATAATGGTCATGATAACAAAATCACTAATAATAGTAATAATAATAAAGATAATATTTAAAAAGCGAATAAATAAAAATGTTGATGAAAATGAAATTGATAATGATTTCAATAACAATTATCATTAACAGTATTAAAGACGATAATTATGATGTTAATGATCATAAAAGATAACAGACTAATAATGATAATAAGGATAATGATGATGATAATGATAACAGTAGCAGAAACAACAACGACAGTAGAAACAGAAATGATAATAATAATGACTATAATGATAATAATAATGAGAATAATAATGCTAATATTGTTCATAATAATAATAATAAAAAAGAAAATTATAATAATAACCAACAATAACATAAATGACAATAATTAGGATGAAAATAGTGATAAGATTTTAGCAATAAAGTAATAATAGTAATGATAAGGATAATAATAGCAATTATAATAACAACAACAATAACAACACCAATAATAACACAACAAAAACAACAGTAATAATAATGATAATGAAACAGTGATAGTGATAATGATGATAATGGTAATGATAATAGTACTAGTGAAAACCATAGAAATAATTATGATAACAATTATATTGAAAACTGAGAGTAGCAATGATCTTGATGACAATTATATAAAAAACAATAATGATAATAGCAATGATAATAATAATAATGATAATGATAATAATAACAACAACAACAACAATAATGACAATAATGATAACAATAATGATAATAATGATATTAATAATGATAATGATAGCAACAGTGATAATAACAATAATATTAATGATAATAATTACAATGATGATAATGATATTAGTAGTGATAATAATGATAATAATAATAATAATAATAACAATGATAATAATAAAAAAAAAAGTAATGCTGATAATACTGATACTGATAATAAAATAATGATAATAACAATTATGATAATGATAAATAGCAAAATAAATAAATAAATAATGAAAACAATGATATTTATAAAAAAGAGGATAAGAATAATGACAATGACAATTATAACAAAACGATAAAGAAACTAATAATCATAATAATGACAATAATGAGAACGCTAATGATAATCATGATAACAATAACAAAATAGAATTGATAATGATAATGATAATAATCATAACGCCAATAGTATGATATTTATAATATTGATTATAATAGCAATAACAATAATAATGATAATAATGATAATAATAATAATAATAATGATGATGATAATAATAATAATAATAACAATAATAATGATAATAATGATAATAATGATAATAATAATAATAATAATGATGATGATAATAATAATAATAATAACAATAATAATGATAATAGTAATAATAATAATAACAACAATAATAATGACAACAATGATAACAATAATAATAATGATAATAATAATAATAATAATAATAATAATAATAATAATAATAATAATAACTAATAATGATAATGATAATAATGATAACAATAATAATGATAATAATAATAATAATGATAATAATAGTAATAGCACTAATGATAATCATGATAACAATAACAAAAAAAAGTGATAAGGATAATAGTAAAAATTATGATAATCATTATGCCAATAATATAGTAATAATAATAATAATAATAATAATAATAATAATAATAATAATAAAAATAATAATAATAATAATGATAATAATAATAATAATAATAGTAATAATAATAATGATAATAATGACGATGGTAATAATGATAATAATGATAATAATAATAATGATAATAGTAATGATAGTAATAATAATAATGATAATGATGATAATGATAATCATGAAAACAATAACAACAATAAAAGGGATAATGATAATAGTAAACATTATAATAATCACTATGCAATAATAATAATAATGATAATAATAATAATGATAATAATAATAATAACAATAATAATAATGATAATAATAATAATAGTAATAATAATAATAATGGTAATAATAATAATGATAATAATGATAATAATAATAATAATAATGATAATAAAAATGATAATAGTAATAATGATAATGGTAATAATAATAATGATGATAACAATAATAACTAGTAATAATAATAGTAACGATGATAATAATAACGATAATAATAGTAATGACCATGATAGTAATATTAATAATAGTAATATTATTAATAATAATAATAATAATAATAATAATAACAATAATAATAATAATAATAATAATAATAATAATAATAATAATAATAATAATAATAATAATGATAATGATAATAATAATAATAATGATAATAATAATAATAATAATAATAATAATAATAATAATAATAATAATAATAAGGATAATAATAAAAATAATGACAATAATACTAATAATCATTATAAAATAATGATGATGATAATAATAAGAATAATGACAATAATAATAATAATCATTATAAGATAATGATGATGATAATAATGATAATAATAATAATAATAACAACAACAACAATAATAATAATAATAATAATAATAATAGTAATAATAATAATAATAATGATAATCATAATGATAATAATAACAATAATGATAATGACAGCAACAACAATAAAAGTAATAACAATAATAATAATAGCAATGATAATATCAAAAACATCATCATCAATAACAACAACGATAATGATAATGATAATAATAATAATTGCACTGGTAATAATGATAGTAATAATAATTATTATATCAATAATAATAATTACTCTGGTAGTAATGTAATAATAATAACAATTATGTCAATAATAATAATAGAAATAATACTGATAATTAAAACAAAAAATTGTAATGATAATAGTGATATTAATGCTTAAATAATAATGATCATAATAATGATAATGAGGATGATGATGGTAATAATAATGGTAAAAGAAATAATGAAAAAAAAATAATAACAACAAAGATAAGGACAACAATAATAACAATATGAAAAATAAGAATAATGATAATCAGGATAATAAAAATGATAAAGACATAGCATTAGTATAATAGTAGGAGTATAGTGTTAGTAGTGATAATAGTGATAAAAATAGTAGTAATGATAATAACAATATCCGTAATAATAATAATAATAATATTAACCAAAAAATGTTATGAAAATGTTATGCTTTCTTATATATACATGATTCTTTTGCTTCAC